TTGCGTCAAATGTTTGAGAATGTTATTCTCAAAGTTATTCTCGAACTGCTGAACTACTGACCTTCCACAGCCTGCAGTTCGGCGTCTTAACCACTTGAGCCACCGCAGCTCCTTACCTACCTTTACTGTGCTCATTTTTCCTATACGTTACTGAATTACAGTTGTTGTTAAACCTCATTAATAAAAATAGTTTGTTACTCTGCCTGGGCCCTCGTGCCTCATTCGGTCACTTATAAGGAGGAACCTGCTGGGAAAAGAGGGTGGAAAGGGGCAGCGTGGGCGCCCTGAGCCCTCCGCTGATAAAACGGAGCACAGGCTGTGGCAAATAAAATGCAAGTCTGAGGTCAGGCAGGCAAAAAGGGAATATGAGGAGCATATAGCAAAAAACGTAAAAACCAACAATAAAACTTTATTCAAATACATTAGGAGCAGGAAACCAGCCAGGGAGGCAGTGGGGCCCTTGGACGACCAAGGGGTAAAAGGAGTATTGAAGGATGATAGGGAAATGGCTGAGAAGCTAAATGCATTTTTTGCCTCTGTCTTCACTGTGGAAGATGAGAAGTGCTTGCCCACTCCAGAACCACTGATTTCAGGAGGGGTGTTGAAAGACCTGAGCCAGATTGAGGTGACGAGAGAGGAGGTCCTAAAACTGATAGACAACTTAAAAACTGAAAAATCACCAGGCCCAGATGGCATACATCCGAGAGTTCTGAAAGAACTCAAATGTGAACTTGTAGATCTCCTGACAAAGATATGTAATCTTTCCTTAAAATCTGCCTCCATTCCTGAGGATTGGAAGGTAGCAAATGTCACTCCCATCTTTAAAAAGGGTTCCAGAGGAGATCCGGGAAATTACAGGCCAATCAGTCTGACGTCGATACCGGGTAAATTGGTGGAAACCATTATTAAGGAAAGAATTAGTAGGCACATAGATGAACAAAACCTATTGAGGCAGACTCAGCACGGTTTCTGTAAGGGAAGATCTTGTCTCACTAACCTGTTAGTGTTCTTTGAGGGGGTGAACAAACATGTGGACAAGGGGGATCCAATAGATATTATTTACCTTGACTTCCAGAAAGCTTTTGATAAAGTTCCTCATCAAAGGCTCCTAAGTAAGCTCAAAAATCATGGGATAGAAGGACAAGTCCTTTTATGGATCAAAAACTGGCTAATTCATAGAAAACAGAGAGTGAGTATAAATGGGCAATTTTCTCAGTGGAGGGTGGTAAGCAGTGGGGTACCGCAGGGATCAGTACTTGGTCCACTGCTTTTTAACTTGTTATTAGCCACAAGGTATAGATAGGGGCTCTGGGGCAAGTGATGCTCTGTCTTCTTGGTGCTTGGGGGGCATCAACAGTGGGAGGGCTTCTAATGTCCTGGCCCCACTGGTGGACCTCCTGATGGCACCTGGTATTTCTGGCCACTGTGTGATACAGAGTGTTGGACTGGATGGGCCTTTGGCCTGATCCAACATTGGCGTCTCTTATGTTCTTATGTTCTCCGGGGAGACCCAGACCAGGGTGGCGGCAACCACTAGAGGACCTTTCTAGCTGCTTCCCGTGACACACCCCCCCCCAAGATCCTGAATTCTATTTGTTTTTTTTAATCTATTTTATTGGATTTGTATCCCACCCTCCCCTTGACAGGCTCAGGGCAGGTTCCAACACTAAAAGTGCAACACAGTTAAAACCATTTTAAAACACAATGTAAAACACATAACATAACATAAGTCATAGGTGCCGTAACCACTCTAATAAAAGTCAGATGCTTTGGTGGTTGATGATGTTAAAACCAGTTTCTGTTATAAAGTTCTTTAAAATTTAGGATCCCAAGGACCCAGAACTACAGATAGACCCAGGCTACAGATGGAGGGGGGCCCAAGGGGGGGGGGGGACAGCCGGCGCCGCACCCAAAAGTCCAGTGGAAGAGCTCTGTCTTGCAGGCCCTGCGGAAATGTCATAGATCCCGCAAGGCCCTGATCTACCACGGGAGCTCATTCCACCAGGCAGGGGCCAGGGCCGAAAACATTCTAAGCAAATGTTTAGAGTGTTCTAAATAACTACATGAGGAGCTGTGGTGGCTCAAGTGGTTAAGACGCTGAACTGCAGGCTGTGGAAGGTTGGTAGTTCAGCAGTTCGAGACCCGAGTGTGCCGCATGACGGAGTGAGCTCCCGTCTCTAGCTCCAGCTCCTGCCAACCTAGCAGTTCGAAAGCAAGAAATTGCAAGTAGATAAATAGGTACCACTTCAGTGGGAAGGTAACAGTGTTCCGTGCGCCTTGGTGTTGAGTCATGCCAGCCACATGACCATGGAAACGTCTTTGGACAGTGCTGGCTCTTCGGCTTTGAAACGGAGTTGAGCACCGCAACCCTAGAGTCGGACTCGACTGGCTTTCGAGCAAGGGAACCTTTACCTTTACTTTACTTTACTAAATAACTACATGCACTAAAAAATCATCACTGCACGAAATGCCTGGATATGGGGAAAGTACGCAGGGGGCCACGCCCCAAGGCCCAAACGAGGCATCTGAAGTGATGGGTGAGACACAGACTCTCCTCTCTCACCTTCGTTAAAATAGGCTGTGATGCAGGCTTCTGTCGTCTCCGCCATATGCCGGACGGAGGCCAGGCTCTGGCACACGGCTGTCAGGAGGGGCATCACCCCTAAGCCCCGCACGTTGGCCCCGATCCAGCCCCGCAGAGCGACCCGGAGGGACTCGGCCGTGGAAACGCTGGCATTGTTCAGCATCATCAGGGCTTCGGTGAAGAGGCCGCTTAAGGCCAGGTGGCGAGCCTGCACGTTCGCGTCTGGAAAGGAAGAAAGCGGCTTGGGAAAGAGCCACCAGCCGGGCAGCCCCCGCTCCGAAGGGAGATCTAACCCGGCTCTGTGCAAGAGCGTGATCTGAGTCCAGTGGTGCCTTAAAGACCAACACGATTCCCAGGGAATAAGCTTTCAAGAGCGAAAGCTCCCTTCGCCATCTACAAGGGAGTTTTGACTCTCAAAAGCCTGCAGCGAGATTCCCCAACACGGTGCTCGTGGGCACCATGGCGCCCGCCAGTACTTCCCTGGGTGCTCACCAAGTTTGTCAGAATGTGGGAATGGCCACTGCAAGAAGAGAGAAGAAGAGATTGGATATATATCCCGCCCTTCACTCGGAGTCTCAGAGCGGCTGACAAACTCCTTTCCCTTCCCCTCCCCACCACAGACACCCTGGGAGGTAGGTGGGGCTGAGAGAGCTCTCTCGCGGACTGTCCTTGAGAGAACAGCTCTTATCAGAACTACGGCTTGCCCAAGGTCCTCCAGCAGCTGCAAGAGGAGGAGTGGGGAATCAAACCCGGTTCTCCCAGCTTAGAGTCCGTGCACTTAACCACGACACCAAACTGGCAGAGGCTGTTATTGGCTGCCCTCACGGAAATGTCAGAGACGCTTTAGGCTGGTCCTGCATCGGGCAGGGGGTTGGACTAGATGGTCTGTATGGCCCCTTCGAACTCTACGATTCTATGAAAAGATTTCAAGGACATGTGAATGTAAGAGAAGCCATGTTGGATCAGGCCAATGGCTCGTCCAGTCCAACACTCTTCTGTGTCACACAGGGGCCAAAACCCAGGTGCCATCAGGAGGTCCAGCAGTGGGGCCAGAACTCCAGAGGTTGAACTGGAAAGCATGGCATGTGGCTCCATTCCCCCTTGAAGTTTTCCTTCTTACCAGGAGGCTCCGCCTCCTGTGGCAGCCATCTTGAGGCGGCACTCCCCCCACCCCTCTCAAAATTCCAAAGATGCCCACAGGCTTAAAAAGGTTGGAGATCCCTGGCTTATCTCCTGGAAATCCTGTTGGTTTACGGGACTACTGAAGACCAACACAGCCACCCACCTGAATGCTCTACTAAAGGAGAACTTCTAGGAGGAGATCCCAGGAACTGAACCCGGGGCCTTTTCTCTACAAAGCCTGTGCCCATCTCTGGATCGCGACAAGCAAAGAGAGCTGGGAGGCACTCTGTCCTCCTGAATGTGCCATGAAAGACATCTCCAAGAAGGAAAAAGCGATTGGATTTATACCCCGCCCTTCACTACCCAAAGGAGTCTCAGAGCAGCTTTCAAACTCCTTTCCCTTCCCCTCCCCACAACAGACACCCTGTGAGGTAGGCGGGGCTGAGAGAGCTCTTGACAGAAGCTGCTCTTTTTCAAGAACAGCTCTTATCAGAACTACGCCTTGCCTAAGGCCATCCAGCCAGGTCCAAGTGGAGGAGTGGGGAATCAAACCCGGTTCTCCCAGATTAGAGTCCGCCCACTTAACCACTACACCAAACTGGAGAATTTCATGGTACATAAGCCTCCGAGAGTCGAAGCTTCGTATCTGACAAAGGGAGCTTTGAGTCTCAGGCATTTACCCCCCCCCTCTCCCCCAACCTGATTGGTCCCAGGCTCGGAGAGCCTCCTCCTGAGCCAACCTGGAGGGCTGAAGAGGATGATGTCATCCAGCAGCTTGG